GATGATGATGATGATGATGATGATGATGATGATGATGATGATGATGATGATGATGATGATGATGATGATGATGATGATGATACCTGCATCCAACCATCACTTGGGGTCACCAAACTTCTTGTCGTCTGTCCAAGCTCGAGCAGTCAAGAACAACATGTGAAAGTTAGCTGGTGAATGAATATCACTTTGCAGTTTGCCCAAATGCAGAGCGTTGAATTCCTCAAATTGGTGATGACCGGTTGCGGAGCAGCCGTATTTCTTCATTTTTCCAGACTCCACAAACTGATGGACAGGGGAAATTCGGTGAAGGTGCACAAACTGCTCTCATCTGGACAGATGGGTAGGGATTCTGACTTCACTATTGCATTCTAACAGACTACACGTGTTCTGAAAACAATAAAAGGCTTAAACGGATTGCATACCTACTTTTTTCAGGCTTATCAAACTGCTGAATAAAACCAGAGATCGAACCCAGTCACGTGAGTTCAGGTTGTTTTAGGAGTAACTGTCGGCTCAATCTCGACTAATGTCGCCATTGTTCCAATTTAAGAAAAGTTTGGGTGCCATCTGCCCACCAGCATGAGGTCTACATGACCCCCTGTGCTTTGCATGAAACACAAAGATATGGCTGCTAGCCGATATCAGTGGTCTTTATACGGTCATTTTCTATCCACATTGACTGACTGAGTGTTGGTGGTGTAGGTGCATCGAATACTTTCTGAAGGCTGGCCCCAGGTGTCCCCTTCCCTGCCTATTTTCTCTCTTAAAGCAGAACGACATGGTTGTAAGCCAGAGAAGTGCCGGTGTTCTCAATTGGTATTGCACTCAGTGATGATGACCACGGTGACGTTGATGGGTTTTCCAGTCCCCAGCCATATCTCACGTACGCATTTTGGCTCAATCAAGCTTCTCACAATATAAGCCAGAATTGAACTAAAAACAATCGTTCAGCTGTAGCACCCTTTCAGTGCATAGCTGCCATTCCATGAGAAGGCGATACGAGGGCTGGGGTACTACTCAGTTGCCGAAACCTAGGCAGAGGAGGCAGAGGTCGGGTTCGAACCACAGACCTTTCGGTCAGTAACTTCGCGCTCTAAGTACCACAGACACTTGTATCCGGATTAAGGTTGGTTTTTGGGAATAATTACACTGAAAATTCACGAGATCCTTCAATCGTAGTGTTTCAATTAACCCTACATAAAGTAGGATTGCAAATTGTGAAAAAACCTTGTCTTCCGCTCAACATTAAAACAAAAAATTATTTTCAAGCACCCAATGAAATTCCAACTTAGCTAGCAAAGTCTGGACGTTGGGATATACGACTACCCCTGGCGGCATTCCACTTGATCCTCCTGACACAACTGCCTCTGATGGTGACTCAATTTTTACAAAACTCCAAAGAGTTGTTGAGATATCAGATATAACGTGAAATTGAAAAGCAATGTTTGTCTAGGGCTATACGAATTTTAGGAGAGAGAAACTAAGGTGCAAGGATCAGAGTTTTGCGGGAATAGCAATTGCAATCGTGTAAGCAATTCTTCTGTTCTCCATGGAGCACGTGTTTGTATAGTGCATCTCTACCAAGTGTAGGAGTAAGGTCACACTGACTACTACAAACAAAGATGATGAACTGACAGTGACTTGAAGGTCACGAAGTGTCTCTTAGAATGAGTACGGAATCCATGCAATTCAGTAACCTAGAGGTTACCAGTGAACTGTTCGACTGCTCACCAACTATCAAACTGAGCGTGATTTCGTATCGTTCAACCGAAGATACCCTTTCATCAAAAAAGTCATTCACCTGACTCCACAATCACTTTTTACCCTAAAAATTTGACAGTGACGATACCTCAAAATCCCCCGTACCAACACCATCAATGAGTGGTTGCGTGGCATCACTAACTCTCCATTGCGCCATAGTTCGCAGTATATTGTCAGTGATGTACAGTTTATCGACGCAAAACGGAGTGCGCATTCCGCCGCTGAAGTCAAACAAGGTAGATGCGTGCATTATTGGTGTCATTTACCGCTCTCCAACCGCAGTGGACACTCACACATTCAGTATATGTGACCGAATCCGTCGCGTATGCTCTTACTACTCCATTCCCATTCTCATTATGGGTGATTTCAATTTTCCCCAGCTTTTCGTCGCTTCATACTCGCTCAACTCAGTTGAAGCACACTTTCAGGAGCTGTTAGATTTGGTACCTTTATTCAACCATGTTAACGAATGTACGAGGTTTCGTGGAACAGATCAACCTTCGTTACTTGACCTTATACTAACTAGTGAGCCATTTATGGTTGAACAAATCATAAATAGACCACCACTGGGAAAGAGCGACCATCTCGTGCTCTTGTTCGATTTCACTTGCTCCTCCGTACG